GCAGAGTGCAAGAGTGTGTGGTAATAACATAGGCCATTAGCATAGTTAACAGGGAGTTTAGGGGGGGAAAACAAGATAATGTTCAATTCTCAAGGTTGTTTTTGTCATTCTGTTGCTAGCAGAAGAAGAATAATATGGGCTAAGCTAGAATGATTAAGACCACCTTGTTGAAATGGCTTTTTTTTTTTTGAATTGGAGTTGTTAGTGTTGATCTCATTCCTTTTTTTCTCTTCCTTGGAGAAAGATGGATAGTGAAATGTTGAATTAGAAGAGAACTTTGGTTTGTACTCCATTTCTAGATCAAGTTATGATAAATTCTAGTTTATTACTATTTTTCTTAAATTTAGTGTGAAAGCAAATTCAGATAAACAGATTGAAATGATTTGTGTGATGTCAAAATCAAATAAAACATAAAGAGTAGCTTCTTGTTAATTCACAAGTCAGGGAATACATAAGTTGAATATAGTGGTACTATAAGAATGGTAAGATTTTGTTGAAATTGTTCGTTTGAAAAACTCCCAAAAAGCTAATTATAGGTACTTCTCTTTTTCGAGACAATAGAATTGAACTATGACGTGCTCCTATTTACCCTCTCCCAAACTCCATCCATACCCTTTCCTAGTTATAGGTGGATCAATTAGCGCTATTACACTTATTATTTTGGATATTTTGTGATGTTGAGTGATTTATATATGCATAAATTTTAAGTGGAAAATATAATGTACCTCACTCACTTTTTTTCCAATCTTTGTGTTGAGTATTTTTTTTAATAAGTTTATTCAGCATGGAGAATCATACCTTGAATAAAAATATTTTTGAATTTATTATCGAACGATTTATCATTTTATTATTAATTTATATACATTTGAAGGAGGTAACAAGTACAATTTAAAGTGTAAGATGGATTTTTTTTTGTCACCAAGTGAAAAGTTAAAGGGTGGAAAGTGTATTTGACCTTTCTTTGTATTTGGTTTTCATTGATAATTTTTTTTTTTTTTTATAAAAAAAGACAAGCTAAAACAACTAAATGCAAATTGTAGACGTAAAAAAGAAGTGTTATTTTTCCTTTTTGCTATAAATGTCCCTAATATTTGTTAGATACTTAAATTACATAATAAGAAAATGACTTTTTGGCTCTTTTAAGCTTCAGATAGTGGCAATTGGCAAAGTACAAATCAAGAATCATATCCCCCACCCTACCTTTCATTTATTCTAATATCTTTATTTTTATTATAACTTGCAATTTACCCTTACATAATATTATTGTGTAGAACTATATTATATGTGTACACACAAAAGTTTGTCGAGTAAGGAAGATATAATTAGTACTTCCGAAACATACTAATGAATCATTTTTATATATTATCAGAATCTTTTCGATTATTTTCTAATTTACTCTAGATTGATAAATAAATAAAAATTAATGATACAAGAATATATTTTATACATAAAATCAAGACATGAATTTAATCAGTGTATCGGTGTCAAAAATTATTTTAAATTTGTCACATAATTTCTTAGAGGATGACTGTACACACTATAAATGGAAAAAAACCAAAGAGTTGAAAGATTAAAATATGGCCCCTGAAGTTACGGAGATTGCTCCCAAGACCCCAAAAAGGGACATACAAAATTCTGTTGATAAAATTGAACAAGTTCCAAGTATGAGTTTCAATAAATAATTTTAAAATTAATATATGATAGTAATAATTAAGTTTATGGAATAAAGTCATTAAGAAATATACAAAAATTAAAAATAAAAATGACTAAATTCAAAGTACTAATATATGAAATTTAATTTAATGTTAGATTCTTATATTTATTATCAACTAGTTAACATATCCGCGCTTCGCGCGAACATTATTAGATTTATGAATAAATTTTTTTGTTTAAAATCTATTTGGTATATTGTCTTTAGAAACAGGTAAAGAAAGAAAAATAATTTCATGAAAATTTTCTTTTTGTTTATGCGGCTGTAGTAAATTCTAAATTATATTTTAGGAGGGAGTTAAATTATGCAGTGTTCATAAAAAAAATATTAATGATAAAAGTTACTCTAAATAAATTGATAACCAATAATTTAATAAATTAGAAAACATATCATATATATATATCTATATATGTGTGTGTGAATGAAATTCCTAGAGTGAAAATATACAACTAATTTCAAGTCATGCTTATCATATTATTTTATCTAAAATAATTACATCTTTTAGAATCTATTGCTTGTAAAATAATAAAAGGTTGACTTTTATTTTTGTGAAAATCATCTTCGGTATATTGAGAAATCATGTCAACACTACATAAGCAATTCAATAGGAGTATCATATTTTCATTATTCAACTAATAATATACTCTACTTAATTTTTTTAATTTAACATGAATCTAATATGAAAAGCAAACATTCAATATTTTTAAAAAAATAACAACACAATAATTATTATTACAGAACAAAAAAAAAAGCAATTGTTGCAATATACCAAACTGTTAATAAACACTTATAAATTTATAATATATAAAAAAATACTAATAAAATACAAAAACTCTATAGAAAATCTCTTTAAAATTGTTACTTGTAGCAACTAAGTAAGATAAGAAAAACTATATAACTTGCACATTAATTACTTTAGGGGGTTATCCACATGAAAGGTTTTGAAGTCTTGAATATTATTAATTAACAATTTACAATTAAAAATAAAAGTTACATATATAAAAAAAATGTTAATTATGCAAATAATACTATTAAGTAATTGTTTGAAGAGGAAATTTTGAAAATATATTTTACAATATCACACTGGTGAAGAAAAATAAAAAACATTCTAAATAATTTAGAGAAAAGATAAATGTGATCGGAGATGATAGAAATGTACCACATCATCTTATTTATTTCTAACATTCTAACTTTATATGTAAATAGATATATTGGTTGTATGTAAATAATAAAGAGAAAATAACTTAAAATATTTTTTTAAAATTGTTATTCCAAAATTATAATCAGAAGAAGATAAAAAAAAAAAAGAAAAAGAAAGTGGAAAATTAATCTATTAGGATTGGAAATTAGATGTGAGTTATGGATGATTATTATTAACTCCTAATAAAGTAGTATGTGAAAAGTTTTTATTGTGAATGTTTCTCTATTAATAAAAATTATTTTTAATTAATTAAGTAAATTACTTTTACAAAAATTAATTAATTTAAATAAGAAAAAAGGTTAATAAAGAGAAGATAAATGTCACATCACTTTTTTTTATGTTTCTCGTTTTCAATAATTAAGAGAAGTTAAATAAATTACACTTTTTAGTTTTAATATAATTAATGTGACTAAGGGGAAATTTTTTCTTCATTCTTTTCATTAAATAATTTATTTATTCATTAAATTTTTTAAAAGTACTAAAAAATAATTAATTTATTTTTTGTTTAGTCTATGACTATTTTTTAATATGATAAACTACATCATATATTTTTTAGGGACATCAATATGCAATAGCTATAAGAAATATATCATGTGCAATATTATATTTTTCAACTGTGACAAAAATTAAAATATTAATTAGAACTTGACGAAAAAATTACATAAAAATAAAACTATATAACTTTTCATTAATAATAATAATAATAATAATAATAACAACAACAATAATAAGAAAAAGAAGAAAAAGAGCAAAGTAAAATGAAGAAAATAATGTTAATTGAGCTTTCCAATGTGTTAATTAGTAGAGTTTCATAATTTAATTTTTGTTGAATAATATGAAATTATATATCTAACTAAAAAATATAATCAAAACAATACATGAATGAATTAATCTTCAAAATATTTGGAAATCATTCAAACTTTTTTACTAATATGACCATCTTCTTGATGAAATCTTTAAATAATTATGATTCCTTCTTCATTTTCATAAACTTGTACCAAACTAATGCAAACATCAATTTGATGAATCTTGAAGAATATATCTATGATCTTTATCAATATGAAGATCATATGGTGAACTTATTAAGTACATGATTGATGAAAAAGATTAAGAAAAAAATGTAAAAGAGGAAAAAACTATACTAATAAAAAGAAAGAATGAGAAAATGAGAATGATCATTGAACATAGATAGTTATTATTTATAGTTTGTGTAAACCATAAGAATAATTAAAAATAAGTTGAAAAGACATATTATTTAAGTAGGGAATGTAAATAGATGGAGGTTTTGTTGTAACTTATTAGGTATAATTAAAATAATAAATATGAATGGATTTTTTAATTAATAAACAAATTATTTAATGAAAAGAAATGAAAAAAAATAAAAAAAAAAGGAAAAAAAGAAATTGAAATGGAGGCCATAGAGAGGTGCCACATCAGCTCCTCTATGATCCTCATTTATATATATATATATATATATATATATATATATATATTGATTGATTTACTTCATATAAATCTATGTTATTAAAATTCAATTTGTTTCTCGGCTTGATTATATTGTTTGTGTTAAATTTATATAAAGATTGAGAATTAAAATAAATTAGTAATTAATTAACACAAAACTATCTAAATGAACCAATAAAAGTTATAAAAATTCATATAACTAACGAAATACAACTATTCATGAACGAGACATTATTAATTATTGTAATAAAAAATTCAAAATTTTATTATTAAATTATTTCTAGAAAATATAGAAAAAACATTACAATAATATATCAATGTAATTTAAAAGTATATATATATATAGAGACCTTATCAAAGTTATTTCTAACAAACACTTAATTCGTGAAAATATTAATCAGAACAATTTAAAAAAAATTAACAAAATGAAAAAGTCGTAACAAAATACTATAAAAAGGACAAAGAATGACAAATTATTAACCATACTAAAACAAAATGAAAAACCATTATTGACTATTTCTACAATAAAAATATAGAATGGGAACACTATTAATATATAGTAACTAATTTAATATGAAAATCTAGTAATGCTTCAAATATAGCTCACGTAAACTTTGTTTCAATAATATTTCATTCCATATCTCCTCCTTTTTTCAAGGCCTTTTTTTTTTTTTGGTTCTTTAAGGGTGTTATTTACTAGGATTTAATTCCATTTAAAGCAGAGAAAAATAGGGATTTCAATTTTCAAGTAAAGGAAAGAGAAAATTGAGTGACTTGAGCAAAAATTTTGATACTTCTCTTGAAACTTTTCATTCTTTTGTTGGTGTTGCATTTGCCCTTTTTCTTACTTTTCACTCAAGAAGAGACCATGCAGCTATTGGGCTGTTAATTTTTTTTCTTGATTTTCTTAAAGTTGAAATCTTTTTTAGTACTTTTTAGCTTGATAGTGTTTTAGGGGTTTGATGGTGTGTTGATTTTTTTTTCTTTGAATTGCTTAAAGTTGCAATCTTTTTAACTTTTAAAGGTTGTTAGAGTTTGAGGGGTTTGATGGGGTTTTGATTTTTTTTCTTGAATTCCTTAAAGTTGCATCTTTTTAACTTTTTTAGGTTGTAGAGTTTGAGGGGTTTGATGGGATGTTGATTGTTTTTCTTGAATAACTTAAAGTTGCAATCTTTTAAAGCTTTTTTAGCTTGTTGAGTTTGAGGGGTTTAAGGGGCTGAAATTTTTTCTTGAGTTCCTTAAAGTTTCATTTTTTTTGATCATTTTGTTTGTTAGAGTAAAAGGGGGTTTGAGGGAAGAGGTAGGAGATGAAGAATGATGATCAAGCAAGGTTTTTGTTTGGGATTTCACTAACAGATAAACCAAAATGGCAACAATTCCTCATTTGCTCTTCTGGATTCTTCTTTGGTTATCTTGTTAATGGCTTATGTGAGGTCTGTTTCATGCTTTTCCTTTTCTTTTTCCCTGTTTCAATCAATACTCTGTTGTTTTGCATTTACAGTACTCTCTCCGTTTCGATTTGTTTGTATGATATGACTTGATGGAGTTTAAGAAAGTATAAAAAACTTTTGATTCTTGTGATCTTAAACATGCAACTGGTCATGTTAGAAGACATTCTTTTTTGAACAGACTTGAAACAAAAATAAGACAAGCAAACTGAAATGAAGTATATATTCTTGTAGGAAGTTTCTTAGGAGTGTTTTTCATCATTGGATTTCTGTTACATAGACCTTGAATTTTGTCCCATAATTATTCAGTATATATTCTTGTAGGAAGTTTCTTAGAAGTGTTTTTCATCATTGGATTACTGTTACATTGACCTTGAATTTTGTCCCATAATTATTGTTTTCCTTCTGTTCTAGGGACATATACAAAAAAAAAAGCGGGAGAGATTAAATAGATGCGGGGTCGTTGTGTGTTTGTGAAAACTTTCACCAGTTGTACCCTTTTGGGAGAGCTGATTAGTAAATGACCCCATGGTCTAAAGATATAATTAGAGCAAAAGTTAGACGACAATCAACTGTTTGTCGGTAAGGTTGAGATATATGAGCGAACATCACACTCGAGTCTTAACCTTTTCTGGAACGGTAATTTCCTAAGGGCTATATATGCACAACTTTTAAAATAGGGACAAAATTTGAATGGGGGCCTAAGAAAGGGACAATTGCATTAATCCACCATTTGCTTGTCTAGTCAAGCATGTGCTAACTTATAGATCTTTGGGCTTTGATTACCAAGGGGATGAGACTTTACTATAATAAACCCAAGGATTGGCACTCCGCTGATGTCATTTTTATGTATGTGATATGATTTACTTAACTTCATAAGTATTAAAAAGATAGAACACAACAGAAGCTTAAAAATGTTTATAGATGACGAAGACTAGTAAAAGTTAAGGCCTAGTTCTAATACTGTGATGTTTACATTAGGCTGAGTGTTGCTAAGAGTCGTGTAGTCTATCTAGTGATTTGTATGTCACTAGGAAATGTAGAGAGCTTCTAGTTTTACAGAACCTCAAATTATTGGATATTGTGGTGGAATGGGTCTATATAAAGCAAAATGGACAGTCCCCGACTAGTTGGGGTGAGGTGTAGTTGTTCTTGTATAGTGGATATACATGTGAGGTCTCGAATTCGAGCTGTGGAAACAACCTCTTGAAAAACTGCACGGTAAGGCTGCATGCAATATATCCTTGTGGTCTAGCCCTTCCTCGGAACCCTGTACATAACGGCAGCTTAGTGCACCGGGCTTCCTCTAATTTTGTTCTTTATTTTTTATCAAATTCCACGCTGCAAAGTAAATGCTTTAATTTTATTTATTTCTATTTGCAGGAGTATGTATACAATCGACTGGGATTCAGGTAGGCTACTGTCTTCCTTCAAAATTTTAATTACTTTTTTCACCTTGATATTTTTCTATATCGACATAAAAGTTATTTGTGACACTTTTTTCTCAATCATGGTTTCAGCTATGGGTGGTATTTTACCTTTGTACAAGGTTTTGTGTATCTATTTCTCATACGTATACAAGGTTTCACCACAAAGCAAATGGTGAACCCATGGAAAATATATGTGAAGCTCTCTGTTGTACTCATGTGTTCTCATGGACTAACAAAGGGATCCTTGGCTTATCTAAACTATCCAGCACAAATCATGTCCAAATCCACTAAGGTACACCGAAAACTTAATCGTTACACTTGACATTGTGGTGATGGTACTAGCCAATCCATCCGGACATTGGTCTAAATCTTCTATATTTATTTTTGGAGTGTAGGTACTACCAGTAATGGTAGTGGGCGCCTTTATGCCTAGCTTGAGGAGAAAATACCCGGTTCAAGAATATGTCTCAGCTGTGCTTTTCGTTGGGGGCCTGATATTTTTCACGTTAGCGGATGCCAATACTTCTCCGAATTTCAGTATCATCGGTGTCATTATGATATCTGGTGCACTGGTAATGGACTCTTTTCTCGGTAATCTGCAGGAAGCGATTTTTACACTGAATCCTGATACTTCTCAGGTATTGTGATTATGGTTTGCCACATGACTGATTAAAGCACATGTGTATGTCAAGAAATAACTTTGATTATTTGATTGTCGCGCTAATTTTATCAGATGGAGATGCTATTCTGCTCGACGGTCGTTGGGGCTCCTGTTCTACTTCTTCCCATGATACTAACAGGAGAACTCTTGGTTGCATGGAAATCATGTTCCGAGGTTAACAAAGAAATCCCCCTCTAATTCTTTTTATATTATACCATGTTCACTTGTTTTTGTTTTTTTTTGTCCTGAGATACGGAAAATAACGAATTGAGAGAATACATTCATCTCGAATGTTTTGAATTAGGCATTACTATTTCTTGATCCAGCATACAGTTTCTTTTACTTGCGACTTATTTGATCTTGTCAGATTTGCCCATTTAGAGTCTATGTTATCCAGATTCTTCAAAAATATCGATGAGTGCGTGTTGAATACTCCAAAAATAGTGCATTTTTGGACTATTCCACATGGGTGCGACAACATTTTTTCGAGAATCCGAGCAACATAGGACTAAGAGCAACATAATGTGAAACAGAATGAGTAACTATTATCACGTGTGCTCTACATTCAACTAATCTTTAGTTATTTACGTTCATTCTATTATATATCCACAGATTTAGTAATGAATGATGACATAGGTAGAGCTCGATGAAATTCTTTTCGTCTGGCTGCTATGAAGTTAAATTACACTCACCATTCTGCTGTGTAACTTGCAGCATCCATATGTTTATGGGGTCTTGGTATTCGAAGCAATGGCCACATTCATCGGTCAAATTTCAGTTTTATCACTCATTGCTATCTTTGGGGCTGCTGCTACTGCTATGGTAAACCTTTTTAGTTATCTAATCCTCTTGACGTTGCAGTCGTCTTGTTGTTCGTTTCTCTGATTCAGTTTTCAAGACGAAAAGACATGTTTACATATTGATTCCTATAACAGGTAACAACAGCAAGAAAGGCAGTGACATTGTTGTTGTCATACTTGATCTTTACTAAGCCACTAACCGAACAACATTTCTCCGGATTGCTGTTAATATCCATGGGAATTGTTTCGCGCCTCTTGCCTGACAGTAAACCTCCTCAATGAGCAGTGAAGTCGGATAATGCAACTAGACGAAGTCATCGAAAAGAGATGAACATATTATCATCAGAAAATATTGCAGAGGAAGAGAAGAGACCATTAGTGTGAGAGCTAGAAAAAAAGAAAAATAAGTTTTAGCTAGTTGCTGATAACCATTTTCTTTTATTCTCTTTTAGTATTTTTTTGTTCTTCTTAAGCCTATTTGTTTTTTTGTTTTTTTTTAACAAAAGCTCTATTAAGGTGGAGTTGTTGTTTTGTTTCAATTTGTAACTCCAAAAAAAAGATTTTAAAGGGAATTCTTGAATTTAATGGTGCATTTTATATTTGTCTGTATATTCCTCTGTCCACAACTAATTGTCATACTTTCCATTTTTGAAGTTAAATTTTGACGAACATTTTAAATTTTTTTAATCATATTGATATATAAATAATTGCAATGTATATTAATGTTCCTTGGATAACCAATAAAAGTTATACAAATATTAATAATAATAATATAGAAATTATTTATGTATAAAATTAGATATTATTTTATATAAATATAGTACTTATTTTGATTAGTATCTTGCATTAAATAAATATATTACGTCATAATTTACCTTCAAATCAACTACTAAACTATCTCGATGATTACAACCGGCAAATTGGTCATGCCCAATAATTTCCATAATCGAATCTTAACGATCCAAATTGAATATTTATGACCCAAAACCCAATTTCACGGCCCAGATATCTATTTCCCCTCTTCCAACTATTTGTTCATTCATCACTGGCAACAACAAGAACAAAAAACCCTAATTTTCAAAAAAAATTGAACCAAAATTCCAAATTGTTGTGTGTATTCAGAAATTGAATTTGTGTTTTGAATAATCGCGATGATGAGAGGAACCAAACGAATCGCTCCGTCCGATTCCAAATCGTTCACAGACGACTCAGTGAGTTTTTTTGTCTCAACTATTGTATGCTATGTATAAAAGTTGAAGCATAGCTCTTAAAGCTGCTCTTTTGTGCTGAAGTTTTAGTTTTCAAGCGGGTGATGTAGCGAATGCAGTCAAATTTGTGTAATGGAAGTTTGTTTTTTTTAGTTAATAGTATGTGGTTTGGATTTTTGGATGTTAGAGTTGTTGATTCTATTTAAAAGATGATTTTTTTCTGTATTGGAATGTGTTGGATGTGAACAAATTGGAAGGATGGTAGGAATACTCATACAGCTGAGAGTAACTAATTTGGAATGGAGACCATAGTTTATTGATTGATTATAGCTGCCCTGTTGTTGTAAATCTTAGTTCAACTGTGTAAAGGAGGAAAATTCATCTAATTTGTGTAAAGATAGCATTTTTTTGTGTGAAATCTTAGTAGAATCCTTGTAGATAGTTGTGCTGATCCTTCTCGTATCTCTTACGTGTTTGCTGGTTCCAAAGCAGATTCAAGGAAAGAGAATAATGGGATCGCTTTTTGATTCACAAAAGGCTGAGCAATCCCAACCGCAAAAAGTGAAGGCTCCACTGTTAGATATGCAAAGAGCTGAATCATCTAGACAGCATGTGAGAGCTCTCAATACTCAGTTCGCAAGGTCTCTCATCTTTCTGTTTCAACTATTTTGCTACTCAAGAAGTAATTTCGCATGCTCTCTATGGACAATTTATCTCTTCACATTCTTTCTGAATCTTTGCCCCTCCACTCCCATCCAACCCCAACCACACACACACCCCCAAAAAAGATGAGGAGAACAATACCAAAGTATTAATAGATAAGTGAAAGTGAAAACTTGGAAACCTGATCTAATTGAAAGTCAAACTTGCTTTCTCTGGAATCGCACTCTATTCCTCCAAACGTTGTAGCAGCTTGTCAATCTTTGTTTTCATTTATTTGCTGTAGTTAACTCACTGGTTGTTCTCCTTTATGAGGGAGTGTTTGTTTTCTTTCTTGTTTATCTTCATTGAATTTGGTAGTCTCAATGGAGGACAAAAAGCTTTTGCATATGTAGAGTCTAAATTGAACTAATGAATTCTACTGTTGTTATGAGCAGTTGGGTCCAAATGCAGTTACAGAACCACCCTGATGAACTTTGGGAAGATGGAATTCAAGATTACTTAAACCATTCTTCAACTATCAAGGTACCTTCGGCATCTCTCAGATTTTCATGCTCCAATTTTTTCTCTGCCAGTAATATGGGTGTTACTCCAGTAAATTTATATATAAACACGCTCCAAAGGTTCTTTATAAATTGCTTTAGTTGAGGATGTATTCCTTATTCAGTTTCCCCATATTGATGCAATTTAGTTTGCTATTCACTGGTGAGATAGGGCAGGTCAACAGATTCTGCTAGTTTTTTTGGAAGAGCATATCATCTATTGTATGCCAGACATGCTTTCTGTTTTGAACTCGCCTAAAATAGTGCTAGTTGATTAAGGCTTTTATATGAATATGAACATGAGTAGGACTTGATATCTGGTTCTTCATATACTGGTGGTGTTTCAATTGTGGTTATTCTATTGCAGGAGAAGTTTACTGACATTGTGAATTGGCTGAAAGCTAATTCATCCAATGGAGAGATCAAATCTGCACATGGATCCCAAGCTGCTTTGAAGACCCTAGAGTCAGAAAATAAGGAGAGTGATGGTCGATTATCTTTTCCCAAACCTGATACTCCTGTGGCTAATTCATCTTCAAGTTTTGGTGCATCATGGAACTCAGGATCTCTCTTTAGCAAAACAACTCCCTTTTCATTTGGTGAGTCTTCTTTATCCTGGATGCTTTTACTGCTTTTCTTTTTCTATTTTTTACTCTTTTTTAATGTTCTGATATCTCTATTATTCTAGTAGTAGGGAAGAAAATAAATGGATCCTGTTATACTAATAGCTTGTTCTTAGACCAATTTAGCTCACATCTGCTATGTAGCAGAAGTGAATTAAAGGGAAAAAAAAATCTGAACTGAGGTGTCATTTCTTATGGAATTTTTAATTTAATACACAGATGTGACACTTTTCTGAAGTCAGTTTCCTGCAGTTGTTCTGTTATCATGGACCAGTCATTTAGGATACATCAATCCTCATTACATCTAGGGAAGTGGGATATATTATATCACCAATCTTGCACCTGATGCACAATAACCTAGTTCAGCTGTTAAGAAAGTATGGGATGAACCAATTTGTTATCAATTTACCAAATGTTCTGACCTTCCCCTTATCAAAAAAAAAGTTGTAATGTTTCCAGTTGTGTAAAAACAAAAGCTCTATTCATTTGCTTGACCAAAAGTAATTGTACTGTGTGGTGGAAGAGATAATTGGGGAGAACATAAAAGACTGCATCACCAATTACACCTCTGATAATTAACTATGTTTTTCTTCTGGTCAAGTCTCTTCCATGCTCATATAATATTTTGATTTTGTCAAATAGCTTACAGATTTATTTGACTGCTGAACGTGCTTATCCTTTTAGGGCTTCAACCTTCAGTACAAACCCAGAATTTGGTACCTCTGAAAACTGATGCTGCTAATGTTGTCCAAGATGCTGGTAAGATTTGGTGTTTTCATGCTTCAGTTGATTTTCACTAGGTCAAGTTATTAGTTACCTCTTAATCTCTCTCACTTCTTGAAACTCCTCATATGTCAGTATAAACCGGATAATTGGGGAGAACATAAATGCCTAATGCTTTGAGAGTATTAACATTTTTTATGCTGGTGGTGTCCTTGCCAGTTTGCTTGCTCCTCTACTATTCCACCAGTTACCTACTACCTCCATCTGGCACAAGCACTGAGCCTTTGGGAGCAGCCTTTTACTGTTGGAGCAGCCTTCAACAGTAAAGGGGAATTACCATTGTTTTATTTCTTTTTTGGGATTTTAGAACATGAGCTTTGGAGTTTGGGACAAGTGTCGGTTCTTTTTTGCTCCAATTCAATTAAGTTTCATAATTTATCACTTGAAGGTCACACCTTTGATGTAACAAATTTTTTATAGGAACTAAATACTAATGAATGATTACACAGAACAAATGGAGGATAATATTGTGTAAGCAGTAGTATCTATCTCTAATGCTGAAACAGGTCAATGTAAGACTAGGCCAACACATACCTAGTGTTAACTGTTAGCCATTTAAAACGACTAGGATTTTGTTCTCTATTTTTATTGCATGGCAAAAGAAGTGTAAAACGGAGAAAAAGGAATACTGTCATATACACAGTCTAAACACTTACTGACCCTGCATACAGTTTTTGTATTATACTAAAGAAGTTGTTGGGCTGCATCAAAGGATTTCATCTTATAAATTCTTTTGGAGACTATTCTTTTTATATTTTCACTATTGGCCTCAAGAGATTGCCATTTTTATTATTTTGCTCCATAACCGTGGAGGTTATTTTTGTAATGCAGAAGATGAAGTGGAGCAGCCAAGCAGTCCATCTGTGAAGAAGACTGAAGAAAAGGGAATCACTGTTGTCCATGAGGTCAAATGTAAACTTTATGTGAAGGTAACATAATACAAGTGCTTACTCCTGTTTAGAAAGAAATATATCCTGCATAGTCCTTTTTGGTGCTCTAATCATATTATTGGATGGCTATAACAATTAAAAAAATCATATAATCAACCATTTTTAAAGTCTTTGAACTTCACTTATATTTAGTCTAGAAATATACTATCTTTTAAGAATTCTGATTTTTATTCATACTGCTTCTCTCTCATCAATATTTGTATGATTAATAACTTAGGCATCTTTCATGTTGACAACGAGTGACTGATGAACTGAACCGTGATGGTCAATTTTGTCTGAGGCATGTACTAGCTGTTACTCTTTTAGTGTGCCAACATTCTGTATAATAATTGTTATAAGGCTCTATGACATGTGCAAGGGTGAGCAAACGGAGGTGGTCATTGAATCATGTCTAATTTGTTGTATTTTTTTGTGTTTTACATGTGTGACTCCGCATTTTTTCTTGCATGAGATTGCAGTAATTCTTGTTTAGAAGGACATAAGCATGCTAAACAAATTGTTCATACAGATTGCTATATTCTGTGATCTCATATAACTAGTTATTTGAGAAGGTCAAGATAAGATGTTAGTCCAAATGATACAAAAAGTATCTCATACAGCAATGTTGATGGGTAATATCTCATATAACAATTATCACCATTTTTTGTTGTGTCATTTAACTTTTTACTTTGTTCATTGCAATCGGCCTTTTGTCATCAATGCACTACAGTTTCATGCCTCAAGTGCATCATACTATAAGTTTGACCATGAACATTCTTTTCCAGATACAAATTCAAGCTGACTTATTTTACATGTATCAAAATTGTGTTGAATTTGAGCTGTCTAGCTCAATCTGTTATCTGT